GCAAGAAATTATATTATGCCTTTCTTGAAATGAACAGACCCCTGATCTTAATTTACCCCTTTTCGGGCCCCACCGTAGGGATTTTGACCAAAAATTCATCTGAAATTTCAAATGCCCCATTTATGTCTAGGGCTCCCATCTCGGGCTTAGCATTGATAGACGGATTATTTACTTAGTTCGCTATTTTATCATTTTTTTTAGATCCTTGTGGGGCAATCAGATTGAAGAATTACCTGTCATTATCTTTCAGAACGTACCTGTAACATTCTCTTTGTAAGTCTTACAACAAATATCTAACCACTCGTTCCAGTGTGATCGTCTAGCTAAGCCCGTTAGTCCTGTAATGGACATTTGTTAGTGATTGACGTTTCGACATGCAGGAGGAAACTAGCTACTTTTAGAATACATTAGAAATTTAGTCGCCATTCGATTGCGCTAAGTTTCTTTGTTGTTTAGCTTTCCGTGACGTCTGAGATTTTTTTCTTCTCTGGAAGTCAGTTGCAACCAATGAACAAACCCTATTTACATCCCCTATAACCATTATGTATACAACGAAGCTGCTATATGATGTCACGGATGCAACCTTTTTATATATANATTTTGTTTTAGAATGTATGATACAGACATTGCAGCTAAAGAGCCAGTCCAATTTAGGTTGCAGGACAGTCGAGAAAAGGTAAGTAATGCAGTGTTTTCTTTTTCGCAAGGATGCTCAGCTTTAATTTAATCTCACAAGTCAACAATCGCACCTTTGCTGGACTCAAGAATCTATGGATACTGTAAGTGACTGTTGTTTTTGTCAATTTGTTCTTAATAACGAAGAGAACTTTTAGGTACTTTGTAATTTTTATGAATTCTTTTATCGCTTCGATTCTTCAAGCTAAGTGATAAAATGAACTGATCGCTCACCTTGGTACTAAAATGTAGTCGATGTCTGTCTGTCTGTCTTTCTGTTCTTCTGACCCTCTGTCTCTCTTTCATTGTCTCTCTGTTTTTCTGTCTTTCTGTGTGTCTGTCTCTGCGAATGTATGTGCACTATACCAAGGGAATGTATGCTACAAACACTGTAGTACAAAACCTAAATGTTTTCAGTTTTTTTTATTTCTGTATCTTTGCTTGTCTTGTAGGATGATAATAAACAACAACCTGTCCATCATCCCTGAAAACACTTTTGCTGGTTCCCCAAATTTAGATTTGCTGTAAGTAATCTTAGGCGAGATGCAGGCAATATCACGATTTATTCTAAAGTTGGAACATATATGCGACGTTTGATGAACAAAATAATGCAAATAGGAGGAATGATCAGTTGCATTTACACCC